AATCACAACAGCAGTAGAAATACTCTGGCCCTCCACTCTTAGTTCAAACTCTGCCCAATATACTCATGTTATCATTTGTCTTTTGAAAGTATGTGTGATGGTGGTAGGTGGCACACGTTGATTTTTGCTGCCAATTTACAGAGACACTGTCTCTCAAATTGTTAACTTCTAGCTTCAGTTAAAAATGTGACCTTTTGCTGAAGCAGAAGCTCTTTTCCTCCCTCTTCCATTCAGGCAAAACTAAAGACAGTGATATAAACCCTCTTTTCCCATTGTTTAAGTCCTCCCAGTTTGAGGCTTTTTTTTCTTTAGAGTGGCTCTTCATAGTCTCATCTGCAGTCCTCCAATAACTCCAGATCTCTGCTTCCGGAAGTCCCATTTTTCTATAACTTTAGTTTCAGTGACAACTTCACCTGCTACCTCTTCAGGCAAGGAGGACTTACAGAAAATTTCAGTTTTCCAAAATAGTTAATTCAATTATCAACACAGATTTAATTTTTTGTTTGTATGAAGAATATTGAGAGGTCTAAACTACATATTCTAATGACACCTATACACATTCATTACCTAACCTGCCTGTCCTCACTTCGTATTGTAATTAGCTTATCAGTCCTTCTGCGCTTGCGCAGTTCCTCCTGGTAACTGCGGGCAGGGGTCTTCGAGTCGAGGGCGGTGGTCTCTGGGAGGAAGGCCGTGGGTCTTCCTCGTAATATACTTCTCACCTCTTGCCTGGAATGTGGTGATTTAGCAAGTTTTGCAGAATTGAGCCAGTCCTGGTCAGTTCCTGTCCTTGGAAAATATATGTTCTTCCTTAATAGCCATTCTTCTACTGATAAGTTTGTGATATATGCTACTTTGTATCCGTCAGTTCTGTTCTTTATGACTGGAAATGTCCCTGCATATGTTAGTCATTATTATCTGTTTCAGCCTCCTTGGTTAGTAAACCCACAATCCCCTTGTTAGATGTCAAGGCTCATCCTGTTAGCTATTTCCTGTTAGCAATTTAGCCTGTTTTCCTTCAAGCGCTTCACACTGGTTAGTGTAATGATTTCTTCTATCTTCCTTCTTATGTTAATATCCTATTTCTACTCCTTATATCAATAATTACTTCTATTATTTATATCAGGGAGAAGAGGACGGGTGTGGACAGGTTGCAGTCTTGGGCAGTATCTCACACATGCCTTTGGATTTGATTTTTTGGAATCCCACTTCAGCTCAGCTGCTCTCCTGCCCTTTATTCTAAGTGAATTCCTCTACTTCGATCATGGTGTTATAAGAATATCTGTTCCTGAAAGGATTAGTCTGCAGAAATCATTTGCTGCCTTTTTTTGTTGTTGTTGCTGCCTTTTTCTTTGTTGCTGAAGTTGTATCTGACAAATGAACAGGTGTAACTTTAATTGCTTTTCCATTCAGTTCTGACTTGCTGTATACAACTGCTTAAAAGGGGTCAACTGGGCTAACTTCTGTGTGTTTTCCTTCAGGTGTGCTGGAAGCTTCCTTGAACAGATTTATTCCTTCCTCAGGTACTTTCTCTTCATATAGAATCTATTTCCAGAGTCTAAACTCAGGTGATTAATATCAACACCATTTTCTCAGCACCACCCAATGAGAAATGTGTCCTAGAGAAGTGAATGTTGTTGTTTACTACTCAAAAAAAATGCACCCCTGTTTCTGTAAACATGTTTCTTTGTCTTCTTTCCCTCAGGTTTTAAGGCCTGCTCAAGATTCCTGCTTCCCTAGCTGAAGCAGGGAGCAGACTGCCAAGCAGGGGTAGACAGACCCTGTAAAACAAAAATATATTGTGGCTAAAAACACTGAGATCGAGGCAGTTGCTTCACGAAGCAGCTGTGAGTATGCTTCCCTGCTTTTGCATGACATGGGACTTCTGAAGCCTTCCCGGGAGAAAGAAGCAATCTTCTGGCTGTGATCAGAGCTCAGCTGTAGGTCAAGGTGTAATCTGTTACGTCTGGGTGATGCTTGACACGCTGCTGTCTCTCTTGGTCGTTGGGTAGCAACAGGAGATCTGGAGCGGTGAGTTGCTGTGCCTAAGAGTTGCCAAAAGCGTCTTAAATTTACAGGTTTAGTTCCGAGCTGATTCGAGGAGCCAGAGTCTTGCTTTTGAAAATGTTCTTTAGATTATCTGCCTCCTCTATCGCTTACCTGCAGCAGTATGTCTGCTTGAAGTGTATCCTGAGTGTGACTCCTGTTAGCCCTTCAGGAAGGGTAAATGCCAATTGTCTTGCTGGTTTTGACTTCTGATTTTTAATTGGTAATTTATCTCCCTGGCTTTAGTCACTTGTCTTCTGACCTACTGTAACGGTTTGAAAAACAAACCAGTGAGAGAC